TCTATTCTATTCTATTCTATTCTATTCTATTCTATTCTATTCTATTCCATTCCATTCCATTCCATTCCATTCTATCTTCCTTCCATGCATTCATGTTCCTTTATCAGATCATTTCATTTTGGATTTTTCAATGTTTGAATTCTTAAAGCATTTAGTCATCTTCATTTATTATTCAGAAAAACACATATCCACACATGTATATAATAAATGATACTTGATTATTTTGGATCAATTAAATTGGAAGCTCTAGATATAACAGATGGATTAATTTGGAAGCTCCAGATATAAATGTAAATCTAGCCATGGTGAATTGGCTTTACATGCAGCACTAAATCATCTCATTTTTTTAAACTAAGCTTAACACATATGTGAACCTAGCCATTGTGGTTTATAAACCATGGCTTATGGCTCAGCAAAATGTATAAATCAGGTTACTATAATCTATTTCATACATACTGCCATTCCAGTTTACATACCATAGCTTACTGAACAAATCATTGTTAACTTACTGGCATCTTTCCTCAGAGAGAGTAAGAAAGGGAACAGGAAGTTAAATTCCCAGCTTGTATTATACAAGAGGAAAGTGTTAACTGACAAAACAGAATACCCATGGTTAAAACAAATGATTGTTTAGCATAATGGGTGAATCCAGAACTATCACTTATATAAGGCTTTATTATGGGCCAAACCAGATGATTAAGTGAAAAAGGAAAAATTCCATCCTACTGGAAACAAACCTTCACCTTAATCATCTCGATACTTAGTGGTTATATCATACCACATACATATTTTCTCTTCGTAATGATCTCCTTTCTTAAAAAACAGGATTTCCCCCTTTTTCTAAAAAAAGAAATGATGCAAAAATCTTGGCACAGTTTCTTTAATTTGTCAATTAATAAGCAGCATTCCACTGAAATGGAAACTTTTGAAACTTCTAAAAATAAATAGTGCAGATCATTTAAAATATATAGGACACTTAAGTGTTCATCATTCTTATAATTTAAATCCAGACTCTAGCTGGATTTTTCATATGGCATTTATCTCTCAATCTGAAATAATAAAGAACTAACTAACTTTCATTCTGCTAGACAAATAATTCAGAATCACATTTATTTATTTATTAAATTTATCTGTCACCCACCTCATTTCAAAACAACTCTGGGCAGCTGACAGTGTTAAAAGCTTTATACAGGTAGTCCTTGACTTACAACAATTCTTTAAGTGACCGCTCGAAGTTACAATGGAACTGAAAAAAAGTCCCCTTGTATGACCATTTTTCACACAACCCTTTCAGCATCCCCATGATCAAAATTCAGACACTTGGCAACTGACTCATATTTATGACGGTTGCAGTGCCCTTGTGTCATGCAACCCTTTTTGCAACCTTCTCACAAGCCAAGTCAATGGGGAAGCTAGATTCACTTAACAATGGTGTTACTAACTTAACACCTGCAGTGATTCACTTATCAACGGTGGCAAGAAAAGTCGTAAAATGGAGCAAAACTCACTTAACAAATATCTCACTTAGTAACATAAAGTTGTGGCTCAATTGTGGTCATAAGTCAAGGACTACCTGTAATCAGAAAAGACAAATATTTCTAAAACAATGAACATGTAAATTACATAGTCAAAACAGAACTATAGTTAAGAGATAGGGAAGGAAATAGCAGGATGCGTGGGAGGGGGGAACAGGTGGGATTGCTTCTTAATTCATCAACCACCTCCAGTGTCATGTTCCTACATTGGATCCCCAAGCCATCTGGCAGACCCAGGTCTTCAGGCTCTCACCTCAGGGGGTAAAATATTCCAAAGGGCAGGAGCCATGCAGAGAAGGCCATTTTACTGGACCCCACCAGCCAGAAATCCTTGGCCAATGGGATCTGCAACATGCTTCCTCTGCCAATCCTAGTGGATTGAGATGGTTCCTCAAGTGACCTGGACCCATGCCATGTAGGGTATAGGTAATAACCAACACCTTGAATTGCACCCGGAGGCCAATTGGCAGCCAGTGCAGCTCACAGAGGAGTGGTGTAACATGGGCCACCCTGAGGACCTCAAGTACTCCCTGCATCACCATACTGTGTGCCATTTGAGGCTTCCAAATGCTCTTCAAGGGCAGTTCCATGTAGAGCACATTGCAGTTGTCCAAAGGACCTGAGAATTGAATAACTGAGCATAGGGACTCCTGATCCAGGAAAGTGTTGTGGCCTGCCAGCTGCTAGCAGAGTTAGTGGCAGATTTGGATGATGAGGAAGTTGGGGAAGACCGTGGGCCGGTTCTGGCACCTGGAGAAAGCTCTGATGGATGCTCAGCATCGGACACAGAGATAGAGTCAGGGCCATCCGACATTTCCCAGCCAGAGAGGCAGCTGCCTTTGGAATCAGAGATGAGTGAAGAGGAGGAATAGCTGGGGTCTGTTCCAGATGCACATATGCACAGAGCAGACAGGAGAGGTGAACAACGGCTCAGGAAAGCAAAACAAATGTGGATGCTGAATGGCCCCTCCCTGGCTGGGGAATAAATAGGAGGAAAGTGAGTTGGGTTGGTTGTCGCAGACAACCATTCACATTTTTGGAAAGTTTGTTCCTTGTGTATTTTGTGTGACAAAGACTGCCTTGCCAGAACTGAGGTTTGTCTATTTCTCTGTTTGAGCTCATTTAATTTGCAGCTTCCCGGCTGGGAGCTCACAACCTTGCATTTATCATAACAAGCTGATAAAGGAGTATTGTTTCAGTTAACTTCTTGCAGGAGGCTTGCCTGGACTTTCTATTGGGGGATGCAGTTAATTCCCAATGTATAAATAAAGAGGGTTTTTTTTCTTTGTGGAGTCTGTTTCTTGCTTCTGCGAAGGCTGGGTCAGAACAGAAAGGCTCCAACTGGTGCACAACACCAGTTGCAAAGGCTCTCCTAGCTATGATTGCCACCCGCTCTTTGAGCAGGAGTCAGGAGTCCAGGAGACAATCCAAGTTACAGACCACATCTGATTGGGACAGTGCCACTCCACCCAGAACTAAGTTAGTTAAAGTCCTGGATCTTGAAACTCCATGCACCCAAAGCCATTCAGTCTTGCTGAAGCCTGTGGTCCCCCAACCAGGTCCCCCAACCAGCCTCCAGGAACTGTGAGAAGCCAACAACAACATACTTGTACCACCAGGATGGAGATAAAAAGTGGAGTATCATCAGCTTACTGATGATACCTCAGCCCCTGGTATGATCTCACCCAGCAGCTTCATATAGATATTAAAAAAGGGTCAAGAGAGTACCGACCCCTCTGGTAACACCATGGAGGAGTGGTCATGGGTTAGACTTCTCCCTATCAATACCAATTGGGACAGGCCTTAGAGATAAGACCCAAACCAGCACAAAACTGTCCTGCAGCCAGCCCAAAAGGATACCAGATAGCACGGTTGATGGTATGGAAGGCCACTGAGAGATCAATGGAGAGCCAGGATGGTTGCATTAGCTCCATCCCGCTCTTGCTAGAGATCATCAACAACTTTAACCAATGCTATTTCTATTTACTCTACTAAGATAGCACTAGCAATAGCACTTCGACTTATATACTGCTTCAAAGGCCTTCACAGCCCTCTCTAAGCAGTTTACTAAGAGTCAGCCTATTGCCCCAAAACAATCTGGGTCCTCATTTTACCCACCTCGGAAGGATGGAAGGCTGAGTCAACCTGGAGTCTGGTGAGATTTGAACTGCCAAATTGCAGTCAGCCGGCAGTCAGCAGAAGTAGCCTGCAGTACTGCATTCTTTATTTGCTGGTGACAATTTTTAAAAAATCTGATCAAATCAACTTTTTTTTTTATCAAACTAAATTAAAGACTAAATAAAAATAGATTATATAAAACCTGGAAGGATCAGACCAAAATTTCTTTTCCGCCTTTCCTTTTCTAACTAGGTCTCCCAAATGCTGGTGGGGAATCACAGGTCTGCTCTGCAAAATGACTGCAGCATGGAGGGATGTTAGGTTGAAAGAGAGAATCTCAGAAACACCTCAGTTGTATTAAGAGAGAATGCCTCCATCCTATCGTCCTGTTTTTTTTCCTTTCAGTCCCTCTATGCAGCAGTCCACTTCACATGATAATATTATACAGCAAGCAGTTTAGATAACCTTCTGGCAAATAGATAGGGCCAAACAGCAATGAAAATATTGATTATCTTTAGTTTATTTTATATATCCTAAAGTAGTCCAGTTAACAGTACTACTTCATCTCACAGAAACCAAGAATGCAAGTCAGGTATAACTTGTGGTAAGGTAATCATTCTTATACTTCTAATATGTAACAATGGCAATATTGCTTTGGTGCAAGTCTGAGTTTAGACAACCAGATTTCTATGTAGCTTCCTTCCCTGGCTATGCAAACAGCTTTTATACAGGTTGCACTGAGTACCTGGGCCACCTCCGTTTCAAATAGGAAAATAGAAAGAACCTTAAAAAGAGCTGGATTCTGTCTGTAACCACTCTACTCTTAGGAAAACATAGCTGAAACACGACATAAGGGAATGATGAATATAACTAAGGATGAAATAGTTAGGAAGAAATGCAATCCACTAAAAGGCCACCAATGCGATGACTAATTTAGAGTGGTGTGGTAATAGATGGTGACTTTCATAATAAATTTCCTAGCCACTTAGATCTTTGCATTATCTGCCTTCTGGAGTTTCTCCTGTCTTTTTATAGCTTGCACATCTTTGGGTTAAACCAGGGAATTCACAGGAAAGACATTTTGGATCATGTCAAGAGCATCCTCCCTTTCTTACTATTTTAGAACAATACCAGGGTTTTAATAGGAGTGGCAGAATTGGTAGCACAATCGGTGAATCAGCTAATTAAATGTATATGTACATTTTCTCATATTTTCCCCTAGCAGCTTCAGGGAAAGAGGAATCTCTAGTACAGTAATTAACAAAACACCAAACAGTAAACAGTCTGCAGCCTGTGGCTGTTCCCTCCGTTTTCCTAGATTATGCCACTGAAACATAGCAGAATGTCTTTTACCCCTTTAAAAAGAGTTCTCCAACTCTTTAATTGTCCCTCAAACTTGAATTTGTAGCCACAGTGCTTACTGTAACAGGGTATGCATGCAGTACTTGATTTGTCAGATAAATAGGTATTCAATATATACTTCATGCATATAAAGCATCTTGTAGTTGAGTTGGGAACTTCACTAGAAATTAATTATGCAAGTTCCCACATGTGCATAGAAAAAAAATACAAGTTCATAAATTGTATAGGATCCAAAGAGCAAATGAAGTTATTGGAGGAAAATGACTGTCTCCCCTACATTTACGTCCTATTTGTTCACACTTCATAGTAAAATAAAAATAAGGAAACCAGATTACACTTTGATGCAAACTACAAATCAGCCACGTCTTACAGGTAGCACAAGTAGAATTAGGTGGGAAAACTGAGACCTTGCTGAAATGTAGCTCAAAACAATGTAAAACAATATAGTCTATGATGCTAAGGCTAAATTCACACAATACGCTAAGCCATGGGTTAACTAATCATAGCTTGCTAACCAAACCATAATTGCCTCTGCTCATGCACCACGTATCAGCCATAAATGTTCTAGACCAGGGGTGTCAAATTCGTGGCCTGCAGACCGGATGTGTCACGCACTGGCCACCCCCACCCCCCGTTTAGCGAAGGGAAAAAGTTGTGGTAGGTCACATGATGACAATGTGACGCCGTGAGTTTGACACCTCTGTTCTACACTGAAAATCAAGTTTGAATTCACTGTTCTTGTCTATAGATCTTTCCTCAATAATAATTATTTCTGGGCTCTTTTTGGTCCCAACGAAAGTGCAATTTCTTCTTGCCCTCAAGTTACTAAAAACAGTTCCTATCCTGGCGAACTCCAGCCAAGCCACCACTTCCCTGCCCTGCAGCTATGAGGAAGGAGAGAGTTCATTGGTTCAGTATATACAGTTACTCCAAAAATATTTATAAAATGGAGGGAGGACCCCCAAGGTATATCTGTTGCATGAGGCTTTATTGTACCCTAATTTTTAAATATTGCACCCTATATTTCAAATGTCCAAAAGTCTTCCTCAGTTGTGATGATTACTTTATTGCCTTTTAAGCATTACTAGCAAAATCAGCCTGCAAAAACAAAACTAGCGTTTTCTTATTATTTATGTATAGATTAGAGAAGCATTTAAATCTATAACTAGTTATAACCCCACACTAAGTAACCTGACCAGGCCTTCATCTCAGTTCAATCCCACCAAACAAGACTGTTTGTAAAGTTTTATGCCCTCAGTTTGTTCCTTTAAGGGAAAAAAGATGATTCCGGGTTAGTAATCTTTTCCAATGAATGCTTCTCCGCTAGTTGAGCAGTTTATGGCAATGGGACTTAATCCAAGAGTTGGCTAATGTTTTTGCACTACAGGTCCCAACAGTCAACCCCGGTGTTTAGGATGATGGGAATTAAAGCCCAACAATTGGGGCAGGGGCAAATCTATGGTTGAGCTTCTTTGAGCTGTCCAAGAGCTGATTTTAAAGAAATGAGCCCCCAAAGAACTGGAGGAAGAGAACAGGTCGCCCCGTTCACGGAAAGCAACTGAGCATGGCCAACAATGTGCCAGGGGCGGCTGCCCAACAGGACACAACCTTCCCAGAGAGGACTTGCAGAGGGCAACGTGCATAGAAAGGAACGCTGATTTCTGAGCGATTAACAAGTGGAAACAAGAATTAGAAGCAGCCCAGGACAGAAGAAAAAGATGAAGAAATATAGGTCTTCGTTAGAACTTGTCCAGGCGGCACCCGGTGTTTTCTACTAGCGCTAGGGAGCAAAACCCGAGGTGTCTCTGAGCGCGTGCAAAGTGACGCTTCCTCCCCACTGAACGGCAACTCCACACTTGCACAATACAGGAGTTTTTAAAGCCGTGGCGCAGGTGTTGCTCAGAAGCGTGCAAGGAAATTTCATTTTTTAATGCATGCCTTTTAGCGTACATTCGAAGTGACCGTAAAGCACGTCTGAGTCTAAATCTAAGTCCCCTCGAAGTTCACTGCTTAGCCAAGGGTTTGAGGCTGCAATCCCAGCGAATTCCGCGCTCCTGACTTTCGAAGAACGGCGCGGAGGGAAAAGGGGACCGGGGGTGGGTGGGTGGGATTCCCCTCCGTTCGCGCGCCTTCCTCGTGTGTGTGTGGGGTGTGTGTGTGTGTGTGCTGCCTGCCCCACCGGGGAAGCCCGCCGGGAGATCCGCTCCTCGAAAGCGGGAGTTACCTGCCGCTGCCGCTGCCGGCGCGCATACTCCGCAGAAGATCTGGGGACTTCTGCCTTGCCTCTCTTTCCCCTCAGCGGCGGCCCCCCTGAGCGTCTCCCGCGCTGCTCATCTGGGAAGAAGAAGCGAGAAACAGCCGGCCGTCTCCCGAAAAGCAGCCGAGGGGGGAAAGAAAGAGAGAGAAAACCCGAGAAGTCCCGCCACGCCGTTGCCAAAAGGATGAGAAGAGGGGAGGGGGCGTTGTCTGGGTACGCGGTTCGCCCCTCCTCCGGCGCTGCGCCTGCTGCCGCTCCGGGCTCGGCCCACCAGTCCTGCCCCCCCCCCCCACCGCCGCCCCCGCTAGTCCAAGCGCGCTTCGCTTCTTTGCAGAAAATGGGCGGAGGGGAGGGAGTTGTCGATGAGCTGCCCCCCCTCTCCCGCCCAGCCCAGCCTCGGTGGCCTCCTCAGGTACTTGTGTCTCATGCCTGAAGGATGGGAATAGCGCTGACCTAGCTAGTTCTGCGAAGTACAAATAGTCCTCGACTTACAACCGTTCGTTTAGTGACGTTTGAAGTTACCAAGGCACTGAGAAAAGTGACCGTGATGTATGACCATTTTTTTCACACTTAGGACCGTTGCAGCCTCACGTGTTTTCCATTCGTGATGCTTGTTCAGTGGTTTTATATTTATGACGGTTACGGTGTTCCAGGGCTTACCTGATAACCTTTTGCGACCTTCTGACAAGCAAAGTCAATGGGGAAGCCAGATTCACTTAACAACAGTCTTACTAACTGAACAACTGAAGTGATTCACTTAACCACTGTGGCAAGGAAGGTCATAAAATGAAGCAAAACTCATTTAGCAACTGTCTCGCTTAACAACAGAAATTTTGGGCTTGGTTGTGGTCGTACGTTGAGGACTACCTGTATTAGAGTTGTTTAGAGAAGGTTTTTCTCCCTCCCTATTCCTTATAGGAGAAATTAAAAGACGCGTCCCTTTGTTTAAAAAAAAAGGGGGGGAGGCTACCCATTATGGATATCAAACTCCCCAGTACACTCTATGTTTTCACAACAATCCCTGAAAATAGTGCCATCAACATTGCAAAGTAAAAGTGTGTCTTGAACTTGATCTTTCTGATAAGTGGCCATGAGTTCCCTATTGGACCAGTCAATCTGTGCCAGAGTTGTCAGTGCTTACTATTGCGTTGAATGGAAAGTTGGCGGATGGGACAACCAAACTGGGCCAAATATATATGGAAATTCATTTGGAACTTAAAGAAAAAACTGTCAATGTTTTTGCAACATTTATGTGTGTGTGTGTGTGTGTGTGTATCTATATCTATATATTTGTTTTCTTAAGTTTTCGCGGGTATTTATATGTATGGTATTCTCTATACAGAAGCCTGATGATGGCAGATGAGATTCTGCCGAAACGTTGCTACAACTTTAAAAGCACAACTATAATGACATGGGAAAATACCCGAACAAAGCTGAATGCCATACATGTAAGTACCCGCGAAAACTTAAGAAAACAAATATATATATATATATAGATATAGATAGATAGATAGATAGATAGATAGATAGATAGATAGATAGATAGATAGATAGATATAGAGAGAGAAAATTAAAAAGTTAAAAGCTAATAGAAACTAAAAAGAAAAAGAAAAAATAGAAAGTGCGGAAAAGCAAAAGAACAGGAAAAAAAACCTTTGTCAAAGCTATAAACCATTTTAGTAATTACTGCCTTCTAGAATAGAATAGAAATAGAAATAGAAATAGAAATAATAGAAATAGAAATAGAAAAGAAATAGAAATAGAATTCTTTATTGGCCAAGTGGACACACAAGGAATTTGTCTTGGTGTAAATGCTCTCAACACAATAAATGTCCTTTTCCCCCCCCATAGCTCATCCCTTATCTGTAACAAAACTTTAAAACATTCTCCTTTAATCCTGGTTAAAAAAAATCCATTAAGTGTTACCAGAGACACTAAGTGTTACCCATCATTACTTTGATCAAATAAACTAATGTTGTATTCTTTCTCTTTACTTTTAATAGATTTAGTATTTAATTCCATCAAATAATGTCCTAGAACTTGATTTCTTTTTCTTTTCTTTATCTCTTCTCATAAAAACCTTCAAAACCTTAACAGGTCTCTTTCTGTAAATGCAATATAAGAAAGTTATGGACTTCCGGTTTGTCGGCTTCGGCAGCGGCAGGGATTCGCGATCCTGCGCGATCCCTGTTGCGCTAGCCGTCTTGGTGCCTCCGATCCGGACGGGTTTGGAGGCTAAGGTTGCCCCGTAGAGGCAGCCGAAGATAGGAGGGATCCGGACAGGGGGTTGGGGTTTTCGCAGACCCCTTCCCCACCCGGCTCAACCCTCTTTTCTCAAGGCGGTGGAGCGGCGGTCAGCAATGGCCGCCACAAAGAAGCTGACAGCTGGATAAGATTGTGCTGGAGGAAGAAGGAGAAAGTTCTGAAGCGAAAGTTTTTTGGCTGAACTGGGACTATAAGATACAAGTAATATCCTGAAAATCCTGATTTTTTGAAAGATACTTTGTTTCCAGAAGAGATTTACAAGCGGCGAGTGAAAGTGCTTAAAGAGAAAGTTTACTCTCCTTCCACATGGATTTAACAAATGGATATTGAAAATCCTGCTATTTTATAGAAGGTAAAAATTTAAAGCTTTCTGTTATAAGTGGGAAGGGAGAGGACAAAAGGAAAATTTTTATTAAGATTTTGTTGGAGATGATGCCTGGAAGATTTTGAGATTGGAAGTTAATTGCAATAAGACTTTAAAATACAGATTGGGTTTTTTTTTCCCTTGCCAATTGATATTACCCCAGGAAGAAAAAGTGTGAAGAACTTTGTGCTCTGTTTGGATTGTTTGATGACTTTGGGATTTTGGGGAATTGTTTCAAGCTTTGAATTATCTTGGTTGTTTTAAGAAGAAGAAGAAGAGAAAAAAGAAGAAGAAAAGGTTTATAATGGCTTTATCTGTTGATGAACTGAGAGAGGAATATGGTAAAATAAAAAAAGAAGGTAAAGATGGTGTGAGAGAAATTTTTTGCTTTTTAGAAATGGCGCTTGCCACTTATCAACAAAAAAAAAAAGAAAGTTATCCAAGTCACCGTCTGGCTTGTTATTTGTGTGTAATGGATCTACTGAGGGCTCAGTTTCTCTTCTGAATGTTCTCTAGGCAGCATCTCTTCCCTTCATCCTCCAACATCATCCACAAAGTCCATTACACCCTACAGGACACATTGTGACTACTTAAATGGAGTCTTTCAACTTCCAGCTGCTGAGCAAACCAAACAATCAAAAACACCTCGGTACCTGCAGTTTACTTATAAGGAGCAACTGTCTGGAGCACATACTGTATGCTTGATCTCACAATCTCTCCTTTCTCCAAAGAGATTTTGGCAACCAAAATCCTACCTCTGGCTGCCAATCATTGCCATTATGTTGTCCCACTCTTTCAAGGGCATTTATCTTACCATGTCCTTATGAGAAGTCTTTGACAGTACAAACTTTTTCATCATCTATTTTCCTTAAACAACACGCAAGAAACATAATGTGAAATAAAGAGGTTTATCTCCCATTTTGATTTCTGAACCTTTCTTACTTTTCCTCTGAGAGTAGTTCAAACAAAATAACAACAAATAGAATAATTATATAATTAAGGCACATAATTAAATTTCTAAAATACATCAGTACAATAATCCTGACAAGCAGCTTCAGAAAACAATTGAAGCATGGCTAGGAACACTAAAACTAAAAATTTGCTAGAGAATAGAAAAAAACAATCTTCAGTTACTAGCAGAATCTTCACAAAGAGCCTGGATAAAAACCAGCAAGTTCTTACTTAAAGGCAGGAATTCCACAGACTTTTTAGTGCAAAATTCTGGGAATTATGGCAACTCTCCTTGCATCCCAGTCCTTTCAAAGCAATAGTGAAGTTCTTCAAGGCATCACTGGGCAGAAATTGGTTTTCTAAGGGTTTTTTCCCCCTCTGTTGAACATCTTAGAGAACATTGTGCAATCCCTTGACATGAAAAGGTAAAGACATTGTTGAACTGAACTTGTCTCTTCCTGGTCCCTACAAGGATACCTGCGTGCAATT